GTCGATAGCGATGCCGAACACGAAGAGGACGTGAATTGGTTTCTAAAGAGACCCAAGAAATCAAAGTTGGGAACCGATTATGAGTTCGAGAGACCGACTGCCAGACAAAGACGAATGAAGTATAGATCTAATGGACGGTACGAGTCGTCGACATCTCATAGGTTTCATCAGCACTCGCGCCAGAGGTAGGGACTGGCATGAGAGGGTTGTATGCCTTTCCCCTCAATTCATATGATGACTACTGTATGTATTTCTGTTGTATTTAATTAATGAATAGTTTCTGTGAAAGACATTGATTTCATTCAATTGCTTTTGTGTTGGAATTAATTATCATTGAATTTGTATTTAAAATCTACTGTATATTTAGTTACGGTTATAACTTATAATACACTAAACATTTTCAATTGGTTTTGAAAAAAGTGTTAACAAATTGTTTTCAGTACAATATTTAGTGTATATTTTGTTGCATTAATATTCTGTTTCTCCCAAATCCTAACCAGTGTTTAATGTATTATTTATGATCGTCTTTCGCATCACAAACTGATACCAAACACATGATTGTTGTTATAGTTATGAAATATTATATAATTATATTTCTTGACCAAAAAAGCCTCATTGTATTTAATGATTATATTTGTATATTTTGAACTAATAGGATTCACATAATTATTGTATTCATATGACATTACAGACACACAGATCTCCCAAACAATATTTGTATAGAACTTGTGATTTAAACGATAAGAATATTCTTTGAAAATGAACTGTTTTTAGTCTAAACTTTTTAATTAATTTTAAATTTTTTGTTTTGATTTAATTGTTTAAAAACATTTTGTGTTATTTTAAATGAAAAAGTATATTAAAGTTATTAACAAATTGATAACATAATGTTAAATATTTTTGAGACACATTTTAATTGACTTATGAATAATCGTTTGTTTTAAATCTATCAAATATTATACAATATATTACTATAGCGTATATAATATTTAGTTAAATAATTAATTATTTGAAGTCTATTATAATGTAAATGTAATATAACAGTACATATAAACTACGAAACAATACATAACTGTTGTTTAAATCATCACTAAATTAACGATTCAATCAACAAAAAAGTCTTATTGTATTTAAAAGCCATTAATTCATGTGATAACTGAATAAAAATTTAAAATGTAAATGATTTGTTTGATGATTTATTGTATTTTGAAATTTATTTGATTAAATATCTCCTATAGGTTTAAATAATACCAAAATTAAAAGTTGCATGAGTTGTGAAAATATCCACATAATAGTATAGTAAGTTGCATAAAAAAATTAACTTTTAATTTGTGAATTTTACTTATTAAGGAATTTGTGAATATACTGTATCCTAGTATATTTTCAAGGCTTTGGTTGAATAATTTTCTATTTATAAAATTAAAGGTTATTTAACGAGCTTTCTTTGAAAATATATTTTGTTTTGGATATAATGTGACAACTTTTCTTGCCCTTGTTCATTTCATTTAATGAATATTAATTAATAAATTAAAATTAATTTTACTTTTATTAAAAACAATGGTATGCAGTATAGTTAATATTAGTGCATAGTTTATTCCACTTATTATATAAATTATACTTTTTGTAAGCTATGTTAGGACATTTTAAATAAATGTTAGTGATAAAAATTAAAAGTACATTTATTGAATGTATTGCTAAATTCTATAAATTTGATTGGAAACTACAACTGTACTCATAGATAATAGTACAATATTATGAGCACCAGGTTTTCATTTTATAAAATAAAGGAATTTATATTTAAATTTTTAAAATTTTTAAACTGGTACAATATATATTGTAAAACATTTTAATAATTAATTATTATCAAATAACATAAATCTAATAATACAAATTGTGTTGACACTTAATGGGATAATCGGTGGGTATGGGCATGGGTTCAATACTGGGGAATCAACTTATGATAAGTTATGATCAGAAATATTCTTCGAAGGACATCGCGATAGGACATCTAACTGCTGGTGCGATGGAGCACCAGTACTCTACTATTTGTGTGAATTTTAAAATTTATTCAATTCAATAAATCTTATGATAGTGGAAAACTTTCTGAATAGTTTTGTTAATCTGCAAAATAGATTCTGAAATTCAGTTAAAACCAGTATTTATTGGCTAACACTTAGTGTTTTATAGTTAGCAATATTGTGAAATATTTTTATAAGACTTTTAACAAATCTTATTTCTGCATTCAGTCTAAGAGTTTGCAAACTAGTGTCGAGAAGTGTTTGAAAAATAAGTTTTAATTAGATTTTAGCAGAAATAATGACTAAAACAAATGAAGACAACCTATCGCTTGTCATCCATAAGAAGGGAGACTTGCGGTTAGAACAGACACCCATTCCATCTAATTTAGGACCAAACGGTAGGTCCACTTATTTTACATAAATATGTATAAATCAATGATTTATTTTTGACGGTCAGACGTGTTATGCAAAACCCATTCGTGTGGTATATGTGGCACTGATGTCCACTACTGGGTCCATGGATTTATGAGCAGTTTTGTGGTTAAAGAACCATTGATATTAGGCCACGAAGTGAGTGCACTGGTAGCGGAAGTGGGCTCTAACGTTAAACACCTTAAACCTGGTGATAGGGTGGCCATCGAGCCAGCCCTACCGTGTCGTATGTGTCAGCACTGTAAGGAAGGCATGTATAACCACTGCCCGGTGTCTAACACTCAGGTCAAGGGTTCGCCACAATTTCATGGAATGTTAACTCGATATTTCGAGCACCCGGCTGATTTTTGCTTCAAGTAAGTCATATCTTAAAATTTCCTAAAAGTAATACCGTACAAAGTTTTAAAATTAAGTTATATAAAAAGTAATAATTCCTAATGAATAATACTAGTTATAATAAAACAGAATATTCTGCAATTACCAGTTGCATTTTACCAGTAAAGAAAATATTTTAAACAATGTTATAGGATTAATATAGATATTATTGAGCACACATTTATTACCCTGACATATCCAATGGACATTATCTTAAATTAATATTGTTAACAGACTGCCTGATAACGTGTCGTGGGAGGAGGGGGCGATGGTTGAGCCCTTGGCGGTGGCCGTACACGCCGTCAGACGAGTGAATCTCACTTTGGGTCAGACAGTGCTCGTGTGTGGGGCCGGCACTATGGGAATGATGTGTTTGGCC